TGGATTTTGTTAGATTAATTTGATATATACCCTGAAATTGTGGTGAATCAGGTACAAATTATGAGAAAAAAAAATTGGAATTTCCAAATTTAAATAATTTTTTTTCCAAATTGGGACTCTAGATAGCGGTTCCAGAACCGCTATCTAAACACACTAAAGAGAGCGGTTCTAGAAGTAACCGCTATTAAAAGTATCTTTTAGATAGCGGTTAACTTGGAACCGCTATTAAAAGTATCTTTTAGATAGCGGTTAACTTGGAACCGCTATTATATGTTAACTTTTAAGAGCGGTCCAACTATTAACCGCTCTTAAAAGTGACAAATATATCTTCAAAATGACACATGTTTGAATCAGAATCGCTCGAGCGAGACTAGTTTGGCTCAAGCGATAATTATGATTGATTATTATGCAATTATAGTCGATCACTTTGACATATATGATCGATTATAAGTGGTATATGATCGATCACTTTGACAACAATTTTTTGCAGGTGGTGTCGCTCGAGCGATGTAAGTTTCGCTTGAGCGAATGTTGACCGGGGCTAAACGTCGATCACAGTTAGCCGCATAATGTGACATGGGTGACCACATGTTTGAATCGGATATCGCTCGAGCGAGAATATTTTCGCTCAAGCGAAACACAACCCGAGAATCCCCATTCTTAGCAGGTGGCGTCGCTCGAGCGATGTAAATTTCGCTTGAGCGATATTAGAAAAATGAGATAATATGATCGATTATTTTAGGTTATAATCGATTATTAACATACGTTAGACAGCAGTTGACGGTTAACCGCTATCTAATATGTATTTTTAAAAGCGGTTCTTATTAACTGCTATCTAAGGTCGCTTCGGGACTCTCGGGTTCAACAGTCGCTCAAGCGAGGAAGTCATCGGTCGAGCGAGGATACCTTCAAACAATGGAGACTCTCGGGTTCTGTCTCACTCAAACGACGATATTATCGCTCGAGCGACATTTGATTCGAATATGTGTTGACCTATGTCATATTATGTGGCTACCTGCGTTGGAGGTTACGTTTACGTCCAACACTCGCTCAAGCGAAAATTCCATCGCTTGAGCGAGGTACCCTTTACAGAAAATAAGGACTCTCGGGTTGTTTCTCGCTCAAGCGACGTTGTTCTCGGTCGAGCGGCAAGTGATTCAAATATGTGGTTATCCATGTTACAGTATGTGGCTAACTGCATTGGACAATTCGTCTGTGGCCAAGGCTGAACTTGAATGAGACGTGACATGTAAATTTCAATCTATTTTTTGTTAAGCGCATTCTTTACAACTATTAAGCATGAAGTTATCTGTTATGTACAAATATTAAGCATGAAGTTATCTGTTTTTTGTTAAGCGCATTCTTTACAACTATTAAGCATGAAGTTATCTGTTAAGCATGAAGTTATCTGTTATCTTCATCTTCATATGTTCGTAACATATAAATCTGGTAGTAATTACATGTATTTTGTACAACTGTGGTTCTCAATATACACTCTCTGTTACATGGAGATAGTCTGCATCATCTGAATAGGGATATTGTGCAAGTGGGACGGTAAAACCCAATTAATAATGTAATTGTCAAAATAAAATAAAATGATACAAAAAATAGTAACCATGGTCCAAAAATCAGTCACTTGTTAATGTCATAATATTTAACATTTAAATGATCCATAACCAACTTAACAGTTATATTACATATGAATAAACTGTACAACATTCATCAATGAAGATGAACATCCATAACCAACTTAACAGTTATATTATCGATGACTTATTCATGTGAATCCCGATTTGTTCTTTCAAAATTTTAACTTCACGTTCAAGTTGAATGATCCTTTTTTTATTTTCTTCTGTTTTAGATCTCCATATGCGCTGGTCCGATAAAAGTTGTTGCAAGTCATATGATGCACCACTGGAGGAAGGTATGTCTGTATTCTCAATTTGTGAATGCGTCAAAGCTTCTTGCACAACTTTCATTGTCTGATCATCCACAGACAGTGTCCAATCCCATACAATCTAACATATAAAGGAAAACTTTATATGTTAGGAACATAATATAATAAGTCCACATTTTTAAGGAAAATTTATATATGTTGTATACAAAATTTCTTACATTGTTTGAGATGAATGCACGTTCTATTTTGGACCTTCGAATGTTCACTTTAGGCCATTCAACAAAACGCGAAACAAATCTTTCGTGGTGGATCAGTAGGCAAAGACAGGTGCTCCACTGCCCAAATCTATTACATAATACAATGTCATCAGTCACAATAGTTTCATATCAACTAATAAATCAATCATTTGTAAGAAAGTTACCTGTAAGACAGCCACACAACCAGCAACGTACAATTGAGAAGCATGGTTTTGCTCGTTTAACTTTCTACTAGCACGATGCAAACTATTAACTAATAAACTGTGCACAACATTTCCCCAATTATAATTATCTAATGCCTCTAAATAATCTAATAAACTAAAAGGAACACTATGAACAGTGCGGGATGTGCGAGGAAAGTAAAAAACCGCCCACCCAAGTAAGATATAAAGCCTACAAAAGTCAACTACATATTTAACATGCTTAATTTTTTTCCTTTCAGCTTCCTAACTATATTTGTTACTGTTATTGGTTCTTCTTCGTCGAATAAATCTTTTACTAAACATGAACTACTATCTTCTAAAACAACTACCTCCCCCCTTATACGTAAACCTAACGAAAAACAAACATCTAAAGGGGTGAATGGGACAAGATATTGTTTTATTCTAAAACAATGATCACTAACTGACCATCGACTAACTAGTTCTCTTATAATATTGCTTGATATTTGCAATGGCTCTTTTATTTGAAGAAGCCATTTAAACGGAGTTTGTTCAATAGCTGCTCGTTGGTGTTTGGTCAACTTTGAATTTATATCAGCTATATACTCTGTCTCAATCTTGTGTCTTAATCTTATCTGCACATATAACATGTATAACATATATAACATACATAACATATAACAAATTGAATATTTAGTAAATCACTTTTCATAAAAAAACTATAATTAACATGCACATACCTTTTTCTCGTTACGACGGTCTCTTTTTGCAGACATTTTTTCCCAAACTAATCCTGTTACAAATTATTAAAATTGTAACTTACAATGACAAAATAGTACAAACAAAAAAATTAAGTCCAACCATGTTACACATACTTTTGGTCAAATTGTGAATTATGCAAACGTGGGTGTAAATCTTGTGCATATTATACAAAATGTTTGTCATGCAAATACAATTCTTCATTGTAGCATTTCATCAAACACTTGTTGGACATTAATATAGCATCACAACTCAATTAACCCTAAACCCTACAGAATACTTTCATTACAAACCCAATCAAAGATAAACAGAAAACAAAGCAAGAATGTGCAAATACAATTCTTCATTATAGCATTTCATCAAACACTTGTTCGACATTAATATAGCATCACAACTCAATAAACCCTAAACCGTGAAAAACACCTTCATTACAAAACCAATCAAAGATAAACAGAAAAGAAAACAACAATGGAAACCCAATCAAAAATACACACAAGCGAGTGCACGGTTGACCTACTGAGGAAACGTCCAACGCAGTTAGCCATATAATATAACTTGGTTGACCACATATGAGAATCACTTGTCGCTCAAGCGAGTGCACGGTCGCTTGAGCGAGACAGAACCCGAGAGTCCCCCTTGTTTGAAGGCTTCGTCACTCAAACGGTGACATTGTCGCTTGAGCGAGTGTAGACCCATTGACGAAACGTCAAACACAGTTAGCCAAATAAAATAACTTCGTTCACCACATATTAGAATCACTTGTCGCTCAAGCGTTCATAACGTCGCTTGAGCCAGACCGAACCCGAGGGTCCCCATTGGTTAAGGTTCCATCGGTCAAGCGATGTCATCCTCGCTTGAGTGACTATTGAACCACAGACCACAGACCTTAGATAGCGGTTACTAAGAACCGCTTTTAAAAATATATATTAGATAGCGATTAGCTGTAAACCGCTGTCTAACGTATGTTTATAATAGCGGTTTTTTTATAACCGCTCCCTTATATCATACTTTAAAAGAGCGTAATAAATGTAGTTTATATAGCGGTTTGCCAAATAACCACTATCTAAAGTCATATATGTCAAAGTGATCGACTATAATTTCTTAATAATCGATCATAATTTTTGATAACCGATTATAATTAAGAATGATCGATTATAGTTGGAGAACATCGATCATAGTTTGTGCTAAATGATTATAGTTTTACATAATTTCGCTCTGCATCTCTCTTGCCGGCGCACGCAAAAGAAACGTTCGTTCTCTCCCGGCGTTCATTCTCTCCCGGCTCTGGTTCGTCTATGTTTAATTTTGGGTTCTGTTCATCTGTTTTAGGGTTTAATATGGTTGTTGATTTCGGTTTTGAATTTTAATTTGATGGTTCATCTTGTTTGATTTCGTTTGCATTGTAAAGAGGAAGCATACAACAACCATCGAGGTTAATGTATTCTTTGCTTTCTAATTACTCACAAATTCTCTATTTTCTATTTTCGTTCACTGTTGACTATCTCAATAGTCGTAAACATAAACCATGGCTGGCAAAAGAAAAAGCTCCAAGCGCACCCACTCAGAAGCGACTTCTTCAAGTACCCAAACTGTGACCACGAAGGAGGTGATAGCCCCAAAGGTTCTTGACACCCAATACTTTGTTAATAACGGATTATATTACCGATCATATATATACCAC